TTATATTTAATTATTATTTATATAATTATTTAATTAAATTACAATATCATATGTAATTATAATATAACTATAATTAATTAATAATTATAATATATATAAATTATTAATTAAATTATAATATACATACGTGTTTAATAATTAAATACAAAATATAAATGAATTAGGAAACCTTAAATATCATATATAATAATAATAATAATAATAATAATAATAATAATAATAATAATAATAATAATAATAATAATAGAAATCTTTTGTTTATATCTATTTGAAAACAAATTATTCCAACGTATTTAAAGATTTGTCACACTTTATAAAAGACAAACGAGGTGCATGACATTACGACAAATCGATCATACAAATTCTTATCTAGAATGAATATATATTATGCTAAAAGGGCTTGAATCTCGAGGTCCCTTTTTCTCTCTTTTTCTCTCTCTCTTTCTCTCTCTTGACTAACAGTTAAGTTAAAGGTGAAAAAGTCGAGTTTATTCGCGATCATTCGCGTGAGATTTTCTTTCGGGATTTTTAACGCGACATAACGTTATGCAGAATGACACGCTGCACCAAATGGAAAACTCTATATATGTATATAGGTATGTATGTGTGGATAGCAAAAAAAAAAAAAATAATAGTAAGGTGTGCACGCGAAATAAAGAGAGAGAGAGAGAGAGAAAAGTTTTATTCTGTCAGATAGAGAAAGAGAAATGAGAAACGCGAGAAAAATGTCGTATTAACCAGAAAGTTTAAAAGGTCGAGGTGTCCTAACGCATATAAAAAAAAAAAATAAAAATTATAAACAATAGTAGAAGAAGAAGAAGAAGAAGAAGAAGAAGAAGGAGCTTTCATCGTGCAAAAGGGAAAATAAAGTTCCTCATAAATACAAATGTTACGAAAAGTAGGTTGACGTTACAGTTATTTAAAAACAAAAAATATATCCTCTTAGCAAAATGAAATAATTAGAAAAGAAACATAAAAAAAATCAAAAACACACACACACAGACACATACAGAAATAATCAAATAATTTCGAACGAAGTCAACTTCATTGAGAGTAATACCTGAAAGGCATAGAAAAAATGTTCTCAAACATTGATTAACATTTATTTCAATATTTCAAATGTTATAACACAATGCCATGCTTTTATTCGCTCAATAAATTATTCAGTTCACGATTGCTGTCTAGGTACTTCAAAATCAGGATATACAGGACAATTATCCTACCGGTAGTCTTTTATGGTACCGAAACGTGATCACTTACGTCACGGGACGAAAAGAAATTGAAGCTTTTCGAAAATAAAGTTGTTCGTCAAATCTTCGGGTGCAAAACGCGATGAGGAAACTGCCGAATCGGAGAAAACCCCATAACGTAGAAGTACACCTGACTGTACAACAAAACTGGACATCATTAACGTCGTAAAATCGCGCCGATTAAGATGGGCAGGTCACGTGGCACGCATGGGGGTGAATCGAACGGTGCATAAAATACTGATCG